GCATTCCCAAATTTCAGGTAGGTACCTGGTAAAAATGTAAACGAACTGTTTGTTTCAGAAGCTAAAACTTGATTATATCATTATATAGTATGAATTATATATGCCTATACTTAATACACTTCTAAATATAGGCATTAAGTACAGAGCTATAGATTATAAATTATATAGAGGCACACAAATAATGTTTCAACACTAATGGGTGATTAAAGTGAAACAAATCCACATTTAACAACTACAGTGCGTGAACCTTTTCCTCCAGTTACTGTTAACCCCTAAAGTCCTGCTTTGGGTGCAAATTTGGATTGCTCTGAAGGCTGGGAGAAAGCCGTGCTTAGAAAGAGGCTGTTAGAAATTGTTTAACACAGGGACAAGGCAGAGGCCTCCTGGGAGCTGAGTGATGGAATATTTCCTTGCACCTCTCAACAGCCAGGGCAGCGCAGGCTGAGTCTGACCGTGGTACCAACAAAAAGCTGATTGCACTGCTGCAATTAACTGCACTTGTGTGAAACATCCCTGACCTGCAGCCTCCTGGACGGTGTTTTGCTGGAAAAGCCTGGCCTGATGTCTTCTGCTGTAACACATTAAGCTCAGTGTGACTGAACTGGGTTCTGCAGGGTGGGTAGGCAGCTTTTCCTGTGCTAAATTTACCTCTGACAGAGAGGGTACTCAGCCAGTGTAACTCTCATATAATGCATTATTCACAGTAATGGATTTATTCTTAATCCCATCAGCTTTATCGCCAAAGCAATGGGCTGGGCCTTGTGAGGGAAGCTGATCTTCAAGATGTTCACAAAAACTCTGCTGGTAATTGCCATGAAAAGCATCCATGGAGGGTTTGGTAAAGCTTTCCTTCAAAACTGGGCCTAATTTTTCTAATCTTCACAAAACACATTTCTCTCAGGTTTATTTTGGCCTACGTAATCCTGTTTAGTTTTTCCACCACTGATTTCCTAGATGGAAGTTTTGGAAACTGGTAGAAGTTTTGCTCTTTTTCAATGTGCAAAGCACTGCAAAATGCAGAGTACAAAATGTACCAGGTTTAGCACTGGTGCAAAAACCCTTCCACATTCCCCAGACTTTCTCTGCTTATGAGCCTTTTTGCTGCATGGAGCCTTTCTGGATTTTTGTGGGTTATCAATTCTTTTGTAATTAGGTGCTACTTGGCAGGCTTGAATTGGAGATTGCTGACACTTCCAGGTTAACACGGGTGAGGTCACAGGTACTGAGATTCAGATTCCAGTTATTACTAATTGCCACGTGGTAGAACAGCCTAGGAAATAGGATTTTAAACATCCAGCTGGGGTTTAATAAAGCAGCTCGGTGACATTTCCTGCGATGTACAGCCGGGATCCCTGAGGGAGCGGCTGAGGGGAGCCCCGGCAGCGGCGCCCGAGGGCCCTGGGGAGGGAAGCGGCGGGGGCGAGCGGGAGCAGCGGCGTAAGTTCCACTTACCGACTTGTGAGAGCCCCCGAGGGAAGGGCTGGGCACGGGCGGCTCGGGGCACGCAGCGCTGAGCTGCCCCGGTGAGCTCCGCCGGGCCCCGGCCAGCCCCGGCCCCTCAGGCGGCGGCGTGAGGGGCGCTGAGGCGCGAAGGCGCTGGGGCGGAGCCCTCGGGGCGGCACCGCCGCGGGACGGGGCTCTCCGAGCGGGGCCGGGAGCTGAGGCAGCGGAGACACGGACGGATGGACGGGAGGTTCTGCGGGGCTGGGGGCGGCTGTGTTGGATCCACCGGTGGGCGGTTCGGTTCTGTCGGTGCTGAGGGCAGGAGCTGCCGGGGAGGCCGTGCGGACTCGGGGCTGAGGGCTCGGAGCCGCTCCGCGGGCAGAGCCCCAGGGCTCGGGGCTGCCGCGGGCCGGGACAGTGTCGGAATCTGTGGTATTGATGATTCCGAGATTGTAGAAAGTCTCTGTCTTTCTACCCCGTTGCCAAAGAAGGAGCCATAATTCGTCTGTGCTGGTTTCAAGGTTGTTTATTCTGTTTATCTCTAACATGTTCTGCTGCCCTGCCGCAGCTCTGTCCTGCAGGGCAGCGTGTGGGGCTCTGCCCTCAGTGGGATGTTACAAACATTAAATACCAGAAACTACCTGTGCTGGATTTACAATAATGTGCCAATATCTGTCACCTACGTTAAACAGTGTGTCCCCAGCCTAAACCAATAGAAAAATGCCAACACCACAGTGAAACATGGAGGGCATGAAGAAGGAGAAAAAGGACAAGACACACCCAATTCCTCCAGTCTTGTCCCCTTTGGACCCCTAATCTAGAATCCTAAAATTTTACTTTTGCACCCGTGCTACACTTAATTATTACTCATATCCAACACTCAGAGCTGGTAATTCATCCTGTAAGATTGAAATCTTTTCCATGGACAGAGATCAGAGCCAGTGTCTCTGGGGGCTCTGTCCAGGGGGGTTCCTGACGCCTGCCAGGGTCCCAGACCTGCCAGGGCAGCCAGAGGGAAGCTCTGGATTCCCACAGGACAGCACCTCGGGATTCCTGGGGCCTCTGGGCTGATGTGGCTTCATCCCCTTCCTGGGGGCTAAAGGGAGCTTTTTGGCTTTGTACCAAAATTTGGGTTCCCTCTTCCCACTTTAACACATCTTAACAGCAAAATAGCTGTGTCTGAAATGTGGCTATGTGCGTATGAGATGTAAAATGTATTGAGAGGATGCCATTAATTCACATGTTTGAACAGCCTGGTTGTTCTCCTTCCAGTTCCCATTTAACACAGGCACTGGTGTGTCTTGCAGCCATGGGGCAGCCTGACATCTCCTATTCCAAAATATCTGTGCTTCCTGAACTACATGTTATCTGTGCTCCCTGAACTACATGTGTAATGTGCCACTGTATGTGTCAAGTTTATTTGAAAATAGCGACAGAAAACATTATTTATGGAAGTTTGCAGTACTATGTAAATTCTGGTATATATTGTGGTCCAAGTTTGGCATTTTCAGCTTCAATACTGAGATGCCTGGGCTGCTGTGAAGGCCAGAGATGAAATGCCTTTGAATGCCAGCTGGGTGTTTCAGTGAACCTAAGATAAAAGAAGGCCCATGCGTTCACCCAGGCTGCCATTCCAGCTGTAAAGGCACAGGGATAATTAGGAATTCCTTTTTCCTGGCTTCTTTATTACTATTGTTTCGGTTCTTATCAGGTAAACTTGCACCATTGTATTGGCATCTTCTCTTAGAGAGCCTTTAGTTCCCAAAGTAAAAACTAAAATGTTTTTGAGAGAGGCTTACTATGTAAAATAAATAATGACATTTTAGCTGTATTGCTTTTGAGCTCATGCCACACTTTTGGGTAATTCTGAAACAGCTTTGGGCTGTTATTTTTTCAGCTGACTTCATGGTTACTCTGTTTAAAATCCATGGGTTTTTTTTCAGCAGAAACTTAGCAAATGGCATGTATCTTATCTGAGTTACATTTTTGCCTAGTCCTTACTCAGAGGTACCGACCTATCTCTAATGGAAGCAAATACTTTTAAGGTCTTTGGGAGGTTCTGTGTTTTCTGTAACCTGGCAAACATCTGCTTAGAAATACCTCAATTTTAGTGTTGCCTCAAGCATGAGGGATAAGGATTAGGTCCTGTGCTGTAACTACAACAAATGAGGAGCAAAGGAAAAGGAAGGTGTAAGCATAGCCAAAACTTGGGTGTTAGCAGCAGAAGACACAGTGTTTTCTGGGGTGGCTGTGAAACCGTGTTTCTTTCTGAAACAAGCTGTTGATGCAGAAGTTAAAGCACAGGGTAACTGCAGGGGGCTGAGTCACTGGAGTGTGCAAGGGAGGGAAAGGAATGAATGCAGAAATTTACTGCAAGCTTTGAAAGCCTTTAAAGCTTTTTGTATCAGAAATTTTATTTTATGCCAGCCAGCCTCTGTCTTGGGCCCTTGAAATGTTTGGGCCCTGGGTTTTGTGACACCATTTCACATCCCATAAAGGCTTATGACTGGCTGTGTAAATGCGTGCTGGGGACTTGGCGAGTCAGACTTGTAAAGCAGTTCAGAGGATGCTGGGGAGGAGAAGCCTTTGAGAGTTTGGCTGCTCGGGCTCCCAGATCTGAGGTTCCTGTGGAAGCAGCCTGGCTTCCCTGCTCAGATCTGGGACAAACCCTTCTGTGCTGAGTCTCAGATCTGTGCACAGCGGGGACGAGGCCTCGGCTCTGACACAGCCAATGGGCCTTTATCTAAAGAGAGCACATTTCTCCCTTTTGGGTACAGGTTAGAGAGCCAGAGCACAAAGCAGTGACTGAACCCAGCCAGTCCTGGGTGGTGACAAAATGCTCCAAATCCCTGCCTGGGAAAGCTGCTAGAAGAAACTTTTGTGTGCTTCTGGCCCTTTGCTCTCTCTCCTGGTGAAAGGAGGTGCTCCAAGCAGAGAGCAGCAGAAATACTCCTGTGGGAACTGACGGCTCTGTGACCACACTCCCTGTAACTGAGAAAGGCACGGCATGGAATTCTGAGCATTTGCCATCCTAAACAAGGCTGAAGCTAAGGGCTTTCCTTAATTGCCAAAATGACAATGGTTTCTGTTGTGCAGGGACATCCACTTCAGAAACTCTTACACTGCTGTTTGTCAGTGCCTGGATGTGAAAAATGAATGCACACGAGGCCACTCAGAAGGACGGTCATGAGAGTTCCCTCCTGTGACAAGGAGTCCAAAAGCTACAGGAGCTGAAAGTTTAATGTCCATTTTAGTGTGGAAGACTGGCTTCCAGTTAACCCAGGTGTAGCACGTAATGGAAGGTCTAAAGGGGGAGAGTTTTCTTCATGACTTTGCTGCAAATGTGTGTGGGCTCCTGTGCAGCTCTGTTGGTGTCAGGGCTCCTGTGCAGCTCTGTTGCTTTGTGGGGGCTCCTGTGCAGCTCTGTTGCTGTTCCCAGTTTGATGCTCCAAGGAGCTGTGGCTGCCCCATCCCTGGATGTGTTCGAGGCCAGGCTGGATGGAGCTCGGAGCAGCCTGGGCTAGCAGAAGATTCCCTGCCCCTGGCAGAGGGGTGCACTAGGTGGTCTTTAGGGTCCTTTCCAACCCTAACCTTTCTGTGGTTTCTCTTTGCATGCCACAAAGGAGAAATACAGCACATGTTTTGGTGGAATATGAAGTGTCAGTTTGTCTTTTTTGCTTGTGGCAAGGTTTTAATGAATTTCTTCAGGTACTTTTAGTTTGGTTTCTCTGAGAAAACATAATAAAAATATGCAATCTTTCTCCTAATTTATGCATGTGTGGAGTGCAGAAAAGCCTTTTTTCACAAGGCCAGTGTCTGCTTCAGACAGTGGGTGTGGAAGAAGCAAAAACCCAGTGCAGTGAGGGAACTTCTGCACAGGCTGAACAGCAATCCTACAGGAAAACAGTGTTGCTGGCTGTTTGCTTTCTGACTCAGCTCTCACCTTCCTCACCTTCAGGGATCCAGAAGTTCCTCCATAAGTGGGCAGAGAGACCCTAAGGCTGTGTGGAGTCACCCCGTTCCCAGTGCAGAACGATCAGGTGTGTCTGCTCCTGGGTTGGATACAGCGTGGGAGGGTGAGATGAGCAGGGCTGGGAGGGCAGGCAGAGGGAGAGAGAAGAAGGAAAGGAGAGAAAAGAGAAACAAGCAGTGAGCACCCACTGCTCTGCAGCATTGCACGGGCTGCAACCAGAGCTGAGCTTTTCCAGGACTCACCAAGTCACAGGTGTTGGCCTGAAACACTGACACAGATCTGGGTGGGAGCTGTGAGCTGATGTGTTACCTGTGCAGTGGAAGTGCAGCTCTGCTTGATTCTGTTGGTCGTGCAGAAGTTTTTTCTGTAAGACCCTCCCTCATTTCCTGGGAGACTCAAGTGCAAATATTGATTGATTAACCTCAAGGTGTTGTATGTTCAGTGCATGGGAATTTTTTAAAGAAGCTTAGTGCTTTGGGAAATCAGTGACAGTAGACTTAAAACTTCTAATCAAACAAACAAAAAGATCACTTGGCTTTTCTGTACAGGGGTGGATGCTTATAGCCATAAAAATGAGCTGAATGTGCAGCTGGATGACTTTAGCATGCACCATCAAACCCCAGTGCCTTGAGCATGGGTATGGAAATCTGATGACAGCTCAATAAAAAAAGCCACGTTTCAGCATGGATGAAACAAAGTCTTCCAGGGTGGGGAGAAGGCAAAGAAGGTGAAGAGGAAAATAGGATGTTTCTTGAGAATGACAGGCTTGAAGATGGCAGGCTGCTCTAGCAGGAACTCCCAGCTGCAGTCCTGGCCTGAGGCACTTGCCGAGCAAGGACTGTGACACTCCAACCCCTTTGGCTTTGCAGAAGTGTCACCAGCAGCCCTGGGCAGTGTCAGTCAGCACTGCCAGGGCAGCAGTGAGTGCTGCAGCTGAAACCCTGCACTCCATCCTGCTGTGCAGGACTGGTACACAAACATTGCCCTGAAACAGCTCCTCCAGGCACAGGGCAGGGTGGGAACGGACACACTGCCTGGCAGCCCTAAAGGCTGGGGCCATTAAATAAAAACTTTTTTGGTATTGTTTTTTTTATTACCTATTTTGCTGTCTTTGCTGTGAGGTTTCTTTTGGTTTTCCTATTGATGTCCACAGTTCCACATCAGCATAGTGTTTGGAATGAGATTAGATGAGGAACATGGGATTACCTTTATCCCTTGTGCACGGCTGGTTCAGTGTGTAGTGTCTGGCTGATGACATGTATTCAAGTTTGTGTGCATACCATGTTTTCCTGTGTCATTTTTAGAAGGACAGAAAAGCTGTGATCCTGCTACAGAACCTTGGTTTTCCTGCTTCTGAAACAAAGTTAAACAGGTGGGAATCCTGTGGAGCTTTTTTTCACGGTGAGGTTCTGAAAGGTGAGTCTTGCTTGTTGAAGACTATCAATTTTCTCAATAATCTGAAAAGCATTTCAGTGTTTTTGTGCTTGGCTTAGCAGAAAAAAAACCCCTGAACATCACATCAGCTTTGAGCACATTCTAACCTTCAGAATTTTTAACAAAGTATTCTTCAGGGCAAACACAATTCTGCACAATGGTACAAAAGCTTCCATGGGAGTCTCCTATTATTTCAGAGCTTCTCTGGTGGCATTTGGAAAATGTGAGGACAGTCTGGCTCCATGGATAGAAAAAAGGGGAAAATGTAAGAAAAGAAAACCGAGATAATTTGGAATAAATAATTCAAATCTGGGATAGTAGAAGGAAAATCAAATAAACAAAGAAAAACACACCAAAAAAACCCCAAACCAACTAAACAGATTTTCTAAAAAAATTCCAAAAACTGATCATGGAAAGAAAAAAAACCAACCAAACAAAAAAAACCCCACACCAAAAAACCAAAAACAACAACAACAACAAACCCAAAAAATTAAAACAAAAATATAAAAAACCTAAACAAACAAACAAAACAAAACAAAGAAACTCCTAAACTTCCTCCCAAATCAACTCGTTCAAGTGCTTGAACAAGATTAGAGAGCAGCATAAAAGCAGGTATTTTATAGAAATGATGTATCAAAGAATGAACAAGAATGAAGAAGAAAATGCTTTAAAGTTTAAGGAGAAACCTTTATTTCAGAAACCTGAGCATGTTTCTCCACCAGTGCAGAACTAGTGAGCATCTTCAGGCAGAGCACTGTGGCAGATATGCACACAGCATTCTCCAGTGCAGTGAAAATGGAGTATAGAGAGCATTCAAATGCTTGGCACAATCATTTCCAGGGATTTATACAGCACTTAGTCTTTATGAAATGACAGACTGATAAAAGTAGTTCTGACTTAATGAGAGTTCTTAATGTACATTGGTAACTCTCGGGGATGTAATTGCAAGGGTGCAATCCTGCTTATTCTTGGGAAAAAATCTGTTTTACTTGAAGGGAATAGGATTACATTTCCACAGAGCAGAGAGTAGCTGGTGTGTACTACATGAATCTGCAACACAGCAAAAGGGTGAAAGAAAATACTTCATAGAACATCAAAGAACTTCGAAGTTATTGTTCAGGTTGTATTTGTTCCTACATCAGTTTCCAGTAGAAAAAATTTCACTTCTCTCTGCTCTGAACGCACTGTTAACTTTCTGCAAGTCTTGTGAGTAAGTAAAGCTTGTTTGCCTTGCAGCTTCTTTGCAAAGGAAGTTTTCATCCTGGCTTAGGGCCTGATGTTATCAGGTGAGGAGCAGCCTCCATTTTTCCCAGGTAAGAGTGTGCCTACTCAGACATGCAGGAGCATTCAAGTTAAAACCACAATGCTTGAGATCCAACTGCTGTTAATGCTGAAGGAAACCGGAAGGGAGCTGTAAATAAATGTGAAGGTGTGGGGCTGTTTGTATGTTTTCATATATATATAAATATATATATATATTTATATCCATATATGTGCATATATACATATGCACATATATACACTTATATGTACATATATTTATATATGTATATTGTATGGTTTATATATATATACACATATATATATACATATATATTTATATATGTATGTTTGTATGTTTTTATATATGAATAAGGGGTTCTGACTGGAGGGTGCTGTACAGCAGTGCTTGGCTGCAGTGGAATTAAAGCTCACCCAGGGGAGAATGAGAAGTTCAGGGGGTTATGTGAACTGTGTACTGCTTTATTCTGCAACAGTTTGAAAAACTACTGAGAGAAGCTTTGCTCATAGCAGAAATTGAAGCACCAGGAAAGCTCTACCTGAGGTGCTGCTCAGGCCCTTCCTTCCCCTCCCTCCCTCTCACCTCTCTCGGTTCTTAGGAGCAGTTATTCTGTGCTCCCTTTGGCCTCCTGTACACCGGCCCCTGTATTTTCACTGTTTTTTTTCTGTTTATTCGTTTGCCTCTCTGGCTGAGATGACTAAAAGCAGCACAGGAATTACTGCAGCATTCAGCCTCCCTAGGAAATCAGCTGCAGGGGACGAAAGGGGCTGAGGTGGTGTCCAGCAGGAGCCCTGCTGGGGAACTTGTAACAGGGGCAGAGTGTGAAGATTTATGAGAGACAGTTCAGGTGAAGAAAAAGGGGTTCAGTGCTGGGCAGTTTAGGGCAGGACCTTCCCTGGGACATCGCTCAGCTGTGCAGGCAGCAGCTCTGACAGCACAGGAGACAGGCTTGGAGGTTTGATAGGCAAGGCACTGGGAAACTCTTTTGGAGCCCTGCTGATGCTCCTGCCCAGCTCAGGAAATGTTCAGCAGCCAGAGCAGCGGGTGCTGATGTGCAGTGAAATTGGCTTCCAGAGCCCTGGTGACCGTGGGGATTTATGGCAAAGCTGAAGGAGCTGCTGTAATAAAAGTGACATTCAGGTCAACCTTTTTGCCTTTGTTTCATTTCAAAGAGAAAAGTGTGAGCAATTCTTCTCCTTAAGTTATTCTAGTGGAAAAGCATTGCTGCTTTAAAGAGAGCTCCTCACACTGGATATCCATGGATATTTTGCTACAGAATCATTTTCCTTTGTAATGAGAGAAAGTTATTTAGCCATTATCAGTAAATAGTGCATCTTAGAAAACCTGATGCCTTTCCTGACACTTTAATCTCTTTTTATATCCCAGAAAGCAAATAGCATCATGATTTCCCCCAAAGTATTAGTGAGATTTATTTTAAACCCACACAACCAAGCCTTGTAAACAGGTGTTAAGTCCTTTGGTGATGACTCTAAAGTAATGTTAATTTTTTTTTTTTCTGTCACATAGCTTTACATCTTACACTAGGATTATATGACTTTCTGTACCTCATATAGGATTAAAGTTTTAGCTGTCAGAAAGTTTTCTGGAAATGATTTGCACTTTTTGTAGTCAGAGTCCCGGGCTCAGTTACACCTTCGGCACCGCGCGTGTTCGTGCGGGGCAGGGCTGAACCCAGCGGGGCACGGCCACCAAAGCGCCCCCGACCTTCTGCTTGCTGAGGAGCAGACTTTGAGATCTTGCTCAGAGCAGGACAGGACAGGAGCCCTCCAGGCAGCCTGGCACAGCAGCTCTCTGATGTTCTCCAGCCTTTGTCTGTTCTCCTCTAATGGCGTGAGCTGCACGTGGCACATTAGCACTGATTGAGAAGTGATTCTGGTGACAACTCCTGACTAACCCTGCTCGAAGGAGTGACAGAAAGTGTTCTCACATTGTCCACCCCAGACAGATGTGTCTTATTTTACCCTCTAGAACTGATGCAGCTTTGGTTTTGGTTTGTTTTGTTGGTTCTATTTTTTGAAAAAACTCGCTAAGACTCCAGCACCTCAGTACTTTTTCAGTCTAAGGATTTGATGCTGAAAGGCAGCCTACAGAGAAGTCATCTGTAAATTCCAAAAAGAAAGCAATGTTTCCATGTATTTGTTGTCACATTTCTGTCATTTGAGTACAGGAGAGGTTGGTTTCCATGAGCCTGTCTCTCTTGCTGTGGGAGGTCTCAGCTACTGAGGTTTCAGAGCTGAAACAGCCTGGTTTGAGAGGTGTTGCCACCACGTGTGTGTGGGGTTGTGCTGCTTTGGGCTGGACAGAGGGAATTTTCCTTGTGGCAGCCATGGTTAAATTGCACTGGGGCCATGCCCAGATCAGGAAAACTGCCTGGATCCTGGGAGCTAGGAGTTACTGATTTAATGCTGTCAGTCCTGAAGTTGTAGTTTGCAGAATTATACAAAAAGCTTCTGTGATTTATTGCACAGCTGCTTATCAGAAAAGGACAAATGTATTTCAGGCTTGCTAAGTAATGTATGCATACAGCAGGCTGCTCTGTCAATGTCACATTAATTATCCAATAATATTGGACTTAATTATTGGTGTAAACTTAGATGTGCATTCCCTTGCATCATAATAAATCATGTACTAAGCCACATTTGTTACTGCAAAAATGTTTCCAGCAAAGCTTATCCCCCCAATTAGCTGAGAAATGAACAGGAAGAGATTTCCCCTGTCCTCTATTTATTTCCTCAGGTATTAGAAATTTATTTTGTTCACTTGGTGTGGACAGACTTTGCTGTTTAATAAGCACCAGCATAGGATGGTTTTGTTGCAACAGTAGCAGCCTAATTAGAAATTGCAGTTCTCTGTTTCTAGCCTAACTTCAGTCAAGAGGTGAGCTGTAATCATTGCATCCAGTTTCCCTGATCTTTATCGGGATTCTCTGCAGCTAACCTTACAATAACTGTTTCTGTTTTGGAAACCTCTTTGTTCAAATGAATCTTTCAGATTTTAATTCTTGTTTAAAAAAAACCCTGAACAACAAATCATAAAAACCAAATCCTGTCTTCTGGGTATTTAGGAACTGAGAGAAAGCATCATAACTTGCTGTTGCTCTGCTGGAACAAACGGTGAAAATTATCTTAATCTAGTTTTGGTCTTTGTTTTATGCTTGGCAAATAAAAGAAATAGAACAAAAAGAGACACGTTATAAGAAATGCTGGCTGTTCTGGGATTTATTTTCTTTTGCAATTGAAAACTAGTAAACCTAGTTATCATGTGACTATCAAAAACCTGTAGCCTGTCAAAATATTATGGTACAAAATAAGATGGATAAGCCATTTCATCTGATGAATAGGAACAGGGAAAGGAAAACCAGGTTAGAGAAACAGAAGAGAAAAAACGAGGAATCCTTTGTTTCCTGGCAACTTTCTGGCAGTACCCTCCAGTCCAGGGATGCTTCTCTCTAAATTCATTGGATGTGACAGTGATGTGAAATTTTGCAGCTTGTATCACGAGCTCTCCTTTTTGTTCAGACAGTCTAAAGCTCTGCTCATGGCAGCACAGAAAAGAAACCCAGGAGGTGATAGGGCTTCACTTCTAATCGGTGATATTGCATCTGTTGCTGGTGTTAGTGATGAATAGCCCAGAGCTGCTATTGTGGATGCTGGGGTGGCTTTTCTGCTGCACTTTCTCCTTCAGTCAGTAGGTACAGAGGGACCATCAGGGCACAAGTTTTAGCTCTCACTGTGTCTGCCTCCACACTTGTTTAAAGCCAGCCAAATAATTTCCTGGTATCAGCAGGTGCATTTCAGGAGTTTGCCAAATAAGACAGCAAAGGCTGTTGGGCAGTGCCTTCTGTCCACGTGGCTTTAGGTGCAATATCTGAGTCAGGGAAGTCACAGTTCAGATTAGGTTTTGAAGAAAGACAAACAAAAAAAGCAGCCAAAACACTACACCACCACCCACCAATTAGACAGCGAGGCTTTAAAAGTACACGGTGTTTGCTGTAGAATTCCCCTGTTTAAAAATGCTTTCTAATGACCTCTTGATTTAGTCTCTGCAGGAAGACCTGCCAGGAGTGCCCAGCTGGCCACCCTGATGCTGCTTTCAAGAGCAGAACTTCCTCCTTGGGCAGTGATGCCACAACGTCCTGTGTGCTCCTGCTCCTTCTGAGGGAAGCCCACAGGAAAGGACAGTGGCTGAGGGCTGTGTTGTGTCCCCACTGAAGTCCTGCTCCCAGGAGCCTGGAAAATGGCTGATCAGGTTCAGGTGAGTTTTGCTGGCTCTCTCTGAGGTGATCTGTGCTGGGATGGTCTTTGCACATGTGAGGCAGAGCTCTCGGGGCTGCCAACATCCTGTGTGCGCCTTTCCTTCAGCTGGGGAAGCCACACGGCCGAGGAGCCCAGGTTGTCTGAGGCTGTGTGTGCATTATTGTCATGTGCTTCTCTTCTTTGTCGTGCCTCTCACACAGCGTGAGACAAGAGGTGATTAATGAGCAGACAGATTTGTTTCAGGAGTAGCTGGGATAGTTCATGTCCCCCGGTTGTGGTTCTAGGAAATCATCCCAGCAGATCTGGCAGGACATGCTTCATTCATCTCTTCAGGCTCATTATCTGAACAAGCTCACAGGAACGTGCCAGGGAATGCCTTGAGAACATGACAGCTCGTTAACCATGTAGTCCTGCAATAAAAATAGACATCAAGTACATTAATTACCCCTCAAACAGTTACATTTGTTGGGACTTTCTCTTAGCTGGTGTTGAAAGATGGCTAATTTTCCAGAAATAACACTCACTTTGCCTCCTTGCTTCTAAATAATCAGTGAAGTTTTAACAGAAAAATATCTCAAGTAACAACATGTGTCAGTATAGATTAATGTGCTTGAAATTCTAAGTCAAATTCTGTGCTGAAATAATTATTCCTTTAAAATGGAACTTGTTAAAGATTGTTTGCCTCAAATTTTATTACATGATACCGCTCTTGGAACTAAAGCAAAGTCATATGGAATTAAAGATGCATAATTCAGAACATGAGGTGGAGAATGAGGAATATGTGCTGGGCCACTGGTTCCTCTTTTGAGGTACCTTTATAAAAAATTCCTTCCATCTTTTCCTTGGATGCTGATTTCCCTCTAGGAACTCTCACAGGAAGAGTAAACAAGGTGTAGGAAAGGTAGTGATGGGGGTTTGTGCCCTTAAAGCACTGTGGGTTTTTTTCCCCTTGTCAATCAGCGAGCCTCATAGCCCAGCCAAAGTTGGTCTCCTTCACTGGAAACGCAGCCTTTAAGGTGGTAACTCAGCAGAGCACACTGGTGTGCACCAGAAGAGCTGTAAAAGCCCACATGTCAAGGAGAGAACATGCCGTGGGCTGATAAGCTTTGAACAGGTTTTCCTAAACAGTTCAGGGATTTTGGTGAGTCACTGGGGGCAAAGCTTGGTGCAGTTTCTGCATAGGCTGTATTTTTCAGCTAGACTTTAAAAATTGGAAAAAAAGAAAATCAGATGTGTATGGATAAATTTTGGAATTGGTACAGAGAAAAGTAAATTAATATTAAATGCAGAAATGTATTAAGAATGTAGGCTTGAACACATTAGACAGTCATCACTGTGCCTGTTGGATATAAATCCCTTGGCCAGCTCTTAATTGTCATTCCTACTCTGTGCAGACATCATTTCACATCATGAAGTTTGTAATCCTTTTGCCTGTGGCTTGAATAAAAGGCAGGATTCATTCCTTTGGCTCTTGCTGCCTTTATGGCATTTCTTTCAGTAGCATATTCTATGTTTAATGAGGCTCTGAGGTGCAAAATTTAAAGTGACATCCTGTTTTCATGCAGATAGCTAGCAAAGGGCCAAAAGTATCAGGAATTTACCTTAACTTCTGAGAGCCAGCCTGGAACACGAGAACAGGAGAGTGGTTTAGGCACAGGTTTGGGTTTCTGGGACTTGTGGGTGACACTGGTGGCACCTCACCCCAAAAACCCTGGAGTCATCCGTGCCACTGGAGCTCCAATTCTGGCTCGGCAGCCAAGCTGGCATTGCCTGCAAGGAAAGAGACCACTCAGGGGGAAGAAGCAAACTGTGCATCAGCACTAGGCAGGAGCAGGAGCAGATGCAGTCATCATAGTGCAATCAGGGCTAATAAATTACTGGCAAACTGCTGCAACTCATTTGTGATTGATTTGATACAAACTTGGCCATTTATGTTTTCTCTTGTGAACCTAGAGAAACATTTCCCTTCATTTGCTGCTTTTGATGTTTTATAAGTTCTGTGTTTGAGTCCAGGTGCTTAGATAATAGGGAAAAACTCTGGAACAGCTGATCCTGGCTCCTGCCTGATAAGAGAAGCTGTTTATTAGTCTGCAGGACCAAAATGTATGAGTTTAGTGAGGAAAAACAAAGGGAAGTGTGGATGCATTGATGTTTCCCTCTGGCTTTTTCTCCCATTTTCTTTGAAAGTAATATCTTCCAGTACCAGAGCTGTGAGCTGTGGAGGGGTCAAAAGGACTGGGGGAGTATCAGCCATGAGAGCAAAGGATAAAGAAATAAAAATGAACCAGAGTGATTGAAAGAGTAATCGGATTTATTTCATTTTAAACCGCTCAGCCCTGATGCTGTAACATGAAAGGCCCAACAGAAAAACAGGAGCAAGAGCAATGTGCAGAGCACGGCAGCAGGAATTAGCCAGGGCACTGGGCCACGTTAGAGGGGGGTTCTGTGGAAATCTGGATTTGGTGCTCCTGCCCAGGCTGTGGTCCCTTGGATTCACCACTGATGGCTGCTGGGTCCCTCTGAACACCTGCCATGAGCTTTTGGATCTCTCAGAGTTACAGGACTCTGTGCTGTGGACATTAAAGTTTATTTTATGAACTCATTCAGAGATCTAACAAGACATGGGTTCAACATGCAAATCTTGCATGAATGTGTCTAGCAATGACTCCACACAGAACTGTTGCTGTGTTGGTCCCTGTTTGCTTTAAGCAGCAGCACAAAATAAATTCAGGCACAGAAAAATGACTGTACTAATGCACTAGGAACAAATCTGGATACTTCATGTGAAATCAGTGGAAACTGGAGATGTGTTCCCATCATACTGCCTTTACCAAATTCCTTTGTAAATAACCTCTTTTTTTTAGTTTCCGGTGGTGTTGAACATGACCCAATTTAACTACATTGTTTTTACTGTTTCATGATAGAAGCCTGGAGATTCGATAGTATTTTCCTCTCACTCTAAAATAGTGTCATGATTTTGTGTGATTGTGTACTGTAAATTGGTGTTTATTCCTCAGAAATGGCTGCAGATACTCAGTTGGTAAGTCTGATCAATAGGATATGAAAGCACTGGATGATTCCTGGAGGTAAGGAATGTGTTTGGTTTATGGGATGTGATGTCTGGCAGCTCCAGCCTATTGCAAGACTCTAACTCTGTGTTGCTACTTTCAAGCTCAAGTGGAAGTTTTCTGTACTTTGAAGTTGATTAATACCTCATTTTCATAGCCTGTGAATTCATAGTAATTTCATTTTGTAATAGGCTTCATGCAAGTTGAAGGAGACTGATTTATTTCTTTTATTATTTGTTTTCCTTGTGCAAAATGCAAAGAATTCTGAAAAGCAGAGATAATCACTTTACATTTGTATGTTAATGCTACCAGGTAATCATCTTGAAAGACTGGATATGATGAACACCTTGAATGATAAACTGGGGAAAATGCACAACACTTGACAGGGAGGAACACGTCTGATACAGTGTGAAAACATCTGGCCAGGAAATTGCTTTTCAAACACTGAAAATTATAAGCAATTATCAAGTGTTTTACCTGATTATACTCACAACTCTGTTTTAGTGACACTTGAGCTGATATTATGCTGCATTTCTCAGCAGTCTGATTTTTAGATAATCACCCTAGACCTGTGTTTTGCACTCTTCCCTCTTCCTGCTTGATCTGCACAGCAAGTGCTTCCCTGGTGCACTTGAAGGGGCAATCAGGGCTGCAGATGAAATAAGGCACTGGTGACAATTGAGGGGAAGAGCTTCATTGGCAATTCCCAGCAGTGAGGGGTCTGACAGGATATCCAGGTGGCCCTGAGCCAGCCTGAGCTGAACTTCCAGGGAGGGGAGCCTGCATGTGCCAGTTTTCTTAGCATGAGCTGGGTTCCTGTCAAGAGCTTTCCTTGGGGTGAACGGATGGACTTTGGGGTGTGAGGAATTGCCAGAATATTGTACTGGCTTATAATAATAATTAAAGAGGACACTTGTCTGTGATACCCAGCTGCAAACCCTGCATGAAAAGAAAGGGCAACTCCAGCCCTTCCATACCCATTAGTGCATTTTTTTTTTATTGCAAATTTTCCCAGAAGAAAAGGTGGAGTGATAGGGACAGAGCCAAAGGATGCTGGGTTTCCTTTGACTCAGAACATTTACAGCTCATAAATCCTGATGCTGTTTCTGGCTTTGGAATATGGCTGTGAACCACTGGTGATTTTTATTGTGCTAAGAACCCTTTTCCTGTAGCTGGCCTTGGACACTCAGTAGAAAACTGCCTTTCCATCTCAGAAAAGGAGCTTCCTGTCTCAAATCATTCCAGGACACACCATAAAACTGACATCCCTGGTGGTTGTTTGCTCACCTCAGAGATGAAAGCTGCAGTAAGAAAAAATGGCACTCTGTCCCTCAGGGAGCAGGTTCAGAGTAGGTCGGGTCCTAACATTCTTACACAGCTCCAGGAAAAAAAAGAAAAAGGATGTAAATCAGGTTGGCTTGTTAAGGAAATGAGGTGAAATTTTACCTCAGGTGGTGACAGTGCTTCCCTGGCACCTGCCCTTAAGCTGTGTGAGATCTGCCCTGTAGCAGAGTTCCTCACAGGATTTCATCAAGCACTGCTTTTTGGGTGAACCTCCTAACCTGACACAAGGTGAGGGGCCATTGGGTACTGAAGATCACACAGGGACACAAAATGTTATTGGCTTTTATTTTAACTTCAGGCCCCATGACCTCATAGGAGGGCTATACCTTCCTAGTCTGGTGCTTTCATCATGCTAGAAAACCTTGTAGGGTTTAGTTTGAAATTGTTTCTACACTGTTTCTTTGATTTTAACAGGTTGAGGGAATATTCTTCCTTTTTCCCCATGATAATTTTCTTATTTCATGAGCTGGAAAAATAACAGGAGAATTTTCAAGCAATTTAGTGGTTTCATTCTGAAATATAGTGAAAAATCAAAGTCTCAAAATATTTCAAGGAAAGGCTGAAATAATCAAATGAACTTTGGAAA